CTCGCAAAAGCCTGGTATTTCTAAAAAGCAAGCAAAATGTGTTGACATGGGAAGCGGCATGTTGAGGATGTCTTACAAGTAAATTAACTCTAAAATTCAATGATCTATCAGCAACAAGCATATAATTCTACGTCTCATACTCTGCAAACAGGTAGTTCATCTTCTTAAGTTGAAGTAAGACCTTGTTAGCAGCAAACTTTGTCAGACTTCTGAACACACCACGTTATTCGGGGAAAACATTTACTTCATAGTTTCTAACGGCTAAACTAGTCCCTTTCTTTCTTTCCCTTCAAGTGTCTGAAAATTCCACCGATAACACTTCGTCGCTGATGTAGGCGATGGGTCGTGCCTCTTGAGGTACATTTTCAGCTGACGATGTTGAGATTCTGTATTGGTATTGAACCATAACCACAGGCACGGTCCCTGCTGAATATTACCTTATATCTTTTATTCATATGAAATGTATTGTTTTTTCTCTAGCCTAAGCTTGTTCTTCATCATGTATTGGTAGCTGTAACGATACAGTGAGTTGGCGTAGTCGATGGTGTGACTTCCACGTAAGATCTAATAGATTAGGCGGTTATATCATGACAAATCTACAATTTTAGGATTAGGTCTTGTAAGATCGAAACTAAGGTTTGGACTGCTGAAAAGCCTTCCAGGTAGGTTAGACACGCGCCCTTTCCCGTCGAAATCAAAACAAGTAATCGGGTAAATAGCGGTTCTATAATTCATCATAAATTTATATGTAAATCGTTACCTGATCAAATATTACCACCCGGCTATTCAACCAATAATTGTTTAATCAATCAGACCTAAATTACAATAAATAAAGAATTTGATAAACGATGAGGGAAAGTTGCCAGTCACAACAAATGAACGTTACTCTACCTGACTGAATAGAACACACACAAAAGGAGGAGCAAATCAATATGGCTACCGCCAAGAACAAGTGTCAACTAAAACAACGTAGATACAGTTCGGGAAGAAGCACAACAATGTAGTGAAGGCGTAATAAAATAAAAACTATGATAATATACAAATATTAACAATTCGAATGTAATCAAAAAACATACAATGTACAACTAAGGGGATCAATAGGAACAAAGTGCAAGTACATGCATGGAGGGATTTTCACAAACACACAAAACATTCAAAATGGATCTTACAGGTCTATTGTTAGAGCAGTACTAATATCATAGTAGACCACAATTCCACAAATCAGTTAAGCCTATGTGTCATATTACTAAGTGATGTGGTGCTACAAGATGTATTTGGCCAAATAAGTTTTTACAAGATGATTAATAGTGAGTGATGCTCATGTGATTATCAGGAAGAACATAAGTTGTAACCAGGAGGAGTACACCCCCAACTCATGCCTATGATAATGGCTTGAACGTTAGTCAGTGTTGGGGTAAATTCGACATTGATGTTTTCAGTTTGCAGGAGATTTGCTCGACTGATTATACTGATTATTTGCATGCAGGATTGTGTCGTTAAACCTCCAATTAGACTGACAAGGATTTGAGGCATTTACTGAATGAGCAACTGATAGAGAAACATACCGTAATCATCTGTAGTGAATGAAGATAAGAGAAAAACAACACTAGTGATAATTATAAGTCAATTTGATGACCGATTTTGTTAATAGTTTCGTTAATTTTATCAATCATATTACGTAATTGTCAAGTCACGACAATGCTTTACGACGATATCCTGAAACTATTATGTTTAACTAGTTATAATGTTGATTGAGGATTAGACAGTGGAAAAATAGGTATTGTTGCTTTAGGTGATTCGAAATTATCAGGAATTTATAACGTTAAGGAATCCGAGGCGCCTAATAATAATTCAGAAATATTCGTTTGGTGTTAATTCTAGTAGGCTACGGAGTTTTGATTTTAAACGTTTGTTTAGCCAGCAGCTACCTAGGGATTTAGTTATTTTATTAGTGTAGTTGATAGTACCTAAATTTTTAGTCTTATTATCTAAACTATGTTCGCATTTTAGGCTGCTGATATGGTAAACCAATCCATAAACCCCAAATACGATTAGCAACAACGACTATGATGGGTTTATTGATAAATGTTAAAGGCGATTCACATGATTTCTAAATTTAAAAGACATGAAGATACAGTAAAACGTATGTATGGCCCGGGTTAACATGCAGGTTGTTGACGTATATGACAATTAAAAAATAATGAACATGACCAGATAAATAATTTTACAGTTAAGACTGCTTGTGAAACTTCAGGCAGGAAAATGACGCGTTATAAACCTTCTTTAAGAAGTTATTGCATTTAGCCTAGGGAAACTTATAAATATATGGCAAAAGCAACTGGAAAACATATACATGTTAAGTACAAAAAATCATTAAGTAAAATAGTTGAGCTCGCCTGGGTTATTTTTGAAAATTAGATTATTCAGTGGACGACATATATAACGCCATTCGTGAGGAGTAGTAATTATCCAAAAGTATCCAGAATAAAACATGCAGTATGACAATTAATTCCAGAGTGTTTGATGCTGTTGACGTTTTCGCTACTCGCTCGGATCAGAACAATCGAATGAACCCAGATAATTGTGTGGCATCGGACCATAACCACACAATCCTCAAAGCTGAATACGAGATTACTCGGAAAACAGATATTCAATATTTTAGGCAGAGAAATATCTAACGATGGAAAGAGCGGGAACAGGAATTGAATGAATCGGAGTTGATCGAATGGCATGGCTCGGCCATGAAGGCGTGGTCCATCTGAATGTTACCTTATATCTTCTATTCATATTAAATATATTTTCCTTCTCTAGCCCAACCTTGTTCTACATCATGTATTGGTAATTGTTACGATACAGTGAGTCGGCGTAGTCGATGGTGTGACTTCCACGTAAGATCTTATAGATTAGGCCGTTATATCATGAAAACTCTACAATTTTAGGATTAGGTCTATTGTTAGAGCAGCATCAATATCATAGTAGACCATAATTCTACAATTCTACTGTTGTTTGTAGAATCGCTAAATGTTACATCATTAGGGTTGTATGTAGCTAACGTCATTTCTTTACGGATTAATCAGGATCTTGTGAGATACTGTCGGACATCTGGTGCTACACGCGATATGGCACGTAAATAGTGGGTAAAGCTGTACGTTGAGAATAATTTATAGCTTACCGTGAGATATGTTCAGTTTGCATTAATCTACACAATGAATATTTTATTGAGGAGTCTCGCAACTATGTGCAACTGTTAGAATACATATGAAACTAAAAACTGATATTCTTACGAAATTTCTGGCAAGCATAGAACAAGCAGAGCACTATGTTGACTTGTCTATACGTCAGGCCCAGAGCCAGAACTTATGGTGATCTCTAGACCATATGATTCCACTCAAAGTATGTGATCACAGCCATGAAGCTTAGTACCACACCAACAAACATAATTCGAGAGACTTGCGTTTTATTAAGTATACCAATTTCTTGAGGTTTTCTTTTCACATCCAACGCGCACTTATGGGCAACAAACAGTTACTTACATTACCCAATAGAGATCTTTTTGCTTTGTGCGTAGATGTGTGGTGGACCAGACAGATATGAACGCGAAAAGTATAAACAAAGTTACTAAAGATCAATAGTAATATTAATATATACAGTTAATTGTTACAAATACAATAAAAATTCGGGACGTTACTTAAATTGACCAAACGTTGCGTGTTCTGATTGGGTCCGGTAATGTAAATCCACAATTATAAATACTTGGTGATTCTGAGCAGGTTGGCGAACTCTCTAGTGATATAATCCCACGTAGAATGTGATATATTCCAATTACAGTCTATAAATAATGATAATATTTGATTTAGACTTCAGTTAACTCAATCACAAACGAAAATAGAACGAGGGATGTGTGAGTAGTAATGTATTTGTTAGCCAGCGAGAATATGTCACGCTATGTCAGAACCACAACGGAAAGTGTGTTCAAGGTCATTTACTAAAACAACAGTTGCAGTCATTTAATGTTAGATATACATACAGTGGAAGGTTGACAAAATAAACACAAATAACATTGAAAACTATTCACAAAATAAGGTTGTCAGGCCTATCTCCACAGATGTAGTTTGTAAACGTTATCTGCCACAGAAGGAATTATGCTGTTTTTACACACTGAAAAACTTGTGAACCACTTTCGAATTTACCCTATGTCGAGAAACCCTGTGATAGGATTGTCTGGCGAAATGTATCGGTCGAGTCGATCAAAATATCCTCAGAAGTACTTGACGCAGTATCACTATTAAATACACGGGGTGAAGACCAGGGTATTCGCAAAAGGATGAAATATACAACTCACCCACTACTTGCTACAGGTCAACAATTGAAAATCGCAACACGAAGGTTTTCTTTAACTGAGTGGTCAACAAAAATGATCGATGCACACTGCTATTTGTCATCCAGTGTTCAAATATGAAGTAACCGCCCTAATGCAAGCCAGCGAAGATCGCTGAAACGAAAGGATATAACTTCAATTTCAAGCTAGTTTTTAACCTGTGCCCTTCGTGATGTGTCAGTGCGTGATGCTGGGCAGAGACTCTGAAAAGTTAATCAGTCAGTATTTGAACATCATCAGCGCGCTTCAACTTAGTTACCCTGACAGTTATCTTGTTTTCTATCCCCAGCTTCATACTTTTGGAATGTCTCATTCTGAAACAAACCAAACTCCAACCTTGTAATGTGATAATTGCTGGTCCTAGCAATTCGAATGCCCTAGGATGAATACACTGGTTCATAATCGAGAAATACTAACTCACAATTCATCAGTATCAGTGTAGCTAAGTAGCTTAACCACGAAAATCAGAGGATAGCAAAGATCTAGAAACGTACCGTAATATCAAGTATCAAGTTCAAAGAAATCAATAGGTTTATGCGAGCTAATCTGTAAAGACAGATTAGCGCTCATATTAACTGATGGCCTTGGACAAAATGCTCATAGTCCGTTGTGTATCTTGAATATGCTGGTTGATGAGTCACAAGAAAAACTAAATGAGCTTGTCGCAGATTTCGGATGGACTCATGAGTTTCTTTCGCATGTGAGTACTCATTCCAAGTTACCTGTACATTTACACAATATTAGTATTCATTATCATTTATTCTGAAGATTTCAAATGTAACTTCCTCCTTTTGTGAAAAGCACATATTTAAGAGTACAGTTCTGTGGGTTTCTCCTTTAATGTGTTCGTATCAGCTTCCCATAAAATTTGTCGAGATCGTTAACTTCAGTTAGTTGAAAAAACAAATAACGGATAGAAATTTAAACTTACATCATTGGAGGTAGACTGACCACTTTTTGTGCGTCTGAAATCTAGAAATTACCTCATAAAGTAGCGCTAACTATAGAAAAATACAAGTGAGAATGGCAACATGTGTTAAAAAACACAGTATTTATTCTGAAAGCATTTAGTCCCTCTTTCTATCGATGTAAGGGACTGTCAAATCCTTTTTAATATAAATAAATTTAGCATTTCAAAGTGAAATATCTTTATTTAGAATTGAGCAAGTAGTACAAACCTATCCACTAATTCCGTTACAGATTTTAAATATATCTTTTTTGTTTTCTCGCTTCTACTCTAATTTGGTGTTTAGCTTTTTTGTTGCTATACTCAGTGCTTTCTCTTTTCAAATATATTAACCTTAATGACTGAGCTAGCATTTTAGATGAAAATATTTCCAACGTTCCGTGTTTGGTATGTACCACTTGCAAAGATCTTCAGAATAGACCTGACCCAAGTCTTCCTAGTTGGTTTGACTGAATGGGAAAAAGTGTCTAGGACATAATTCTTTTCTTACAATGATATTTACTGACACGTCACTCCCAGCTTACAATCCACAGCGTTACAGATCCAGCTTTAAATGTGTTGTATGACTTTAAAGGCAAGTTATTGAGATACATAGCTTGTAATTATCCTTTCTACTCGTACAATAAAGCAAAAATAATTTTCACCATCTTGAATTTCGGACTGTGTCATCAAGGTATGCTTAAAAATAAGTGTTTGCGCGAAGTTTTGATAAATACACAACCAGGCTTAGCAATACATTCAATGATTTGGATTATGAGTATTTCACAGTGCTGTATGGGAAACTCAAGTTTCTAACAATCTTCTTTACCGTCTTAAAGGATAATAACATGCTTAAGGTTTAAATATGACTCTTAAAGCCTTGAAAAATGTCCAGTTCAGAAATAAAGAAGTTAATAAATGAAATAGCTACTGTAGGATTATTGGTATCCAATTGTGCTTATTTTCGCAAAACATCAGTAGCCTGTTCTCAGAATAAATAAACTATGTACTAGTTTGTCGTATTTGAAAGACCAATCCAAATGAATTTTACATGGTTTCTTTTATGTTTAGCCAGTCGAATATGGAAGATGCTCCTACTCACGGAATCATTGGGTTCCTGTAAAGTCTCTCACAACACACAATAATTATTGCACATTACGTCAACAAGGTTTCGTTAAGGAAGAGATAGTAAGTGCCTTTTGTTCACATTTATATGTTAGAAGCCAAGAGGAAAAATCTAGGACGTAAATTGTTATGCTTTTCTGCACTCACTAACAAAATGTATTTACAGTCTTGTTACCACGCGTTTATAATTTAGCTCTTACAAGAGCCAGTTGTCAACACCTTTAATTTATTTATTTAAACATAAACATCGGTACAAGGAGTGAGTAGGACTTTCCTGACAGTAGCTGTACATGAGTGGCCATGTGAGAGCATTTCGAGAGGAAGAGCTGATTCTTCTCACCTCGACCGTAACAGGTAATTCGGGGGCACATGCCTCGTCTCTAATGGATGGTAATTTTCCCGAACTGAAACTTGTATTTGTTTGTAACATAAATATTTAGTACAATCAGGCACCAAGGAACACTCCGTACAAGACTAAGTGACAGTTTTGCGAGAAATTAAACAATAGGTAATGAACAACCATGTAAATAGATAGACGAAAATCATGAATATTTTGTATCAAAGTATCCACTTCAAACCGCCATGGTTGGTTTTATTCCTGGAGAAAAACATATTTACTGCTTACTCAGAATACCTCATTTGTTTATTTGAACACATGAATATTGGTACAAGAGAGCGCCAATATATATGCGCCACACAAAACAATGAGAATTCGAAGAGAAATAGAAAGAAAAAAAAGCTAAGGAGCGCAAAAGAAAAAGAGAACAATAAGGAAGAGATTGGTGTAAGGTAGTGTGCTAGTAACGACGGAACGAAAAGGTACAATCAGAAGAAATCTTTCAGGTAAAGGAGACACAGTCACTTTTTATGAAGAAAGTAAAAGAAGGTTACAGCAGGATCGCCACTGGCTTCTATTCTGAGCCATATCTGATAACGTCTCTGGCCACTGTGTAGCACCATCTCTCAGACCCCAACCAGGGAGTCGTGAAGGACCAACAGAAGCCAGTCCTTTGTAGCTTTCTTTCATACCACGACACCATGTCATGCACTGACCACCTCTCCGCTTCTTCCAACCAGTCCCAGAGTCGGCAAATAATGCACGACGTGGAATTCTCTGGGACGACATTCGTAGAACATGCCCAAGCCACCGAAGTCGGTGTTTCAAGATGGTGACACCAATTGAATTATCATCTCTGTGCCCGAACACACGATGCCGAACCTCTGCATTACTGACATGGTGTTGCCACTGAATGTCAGCAATCCTTCGGAGATAGCGATGATCAAACACAGAGAGTCGGCTAACGTCCTCAACTCGAAGAGGCCAGGTTTCCCAAGCATAGAGCAAAACTGCTCTCACCGACGCGTTGTAGATCCGACCTTTTACAGCCAGACTAACATCACGAAGGCGCCAAAGGTGGCCCAGATTGGCATAAGCCGCTCTGGCTTTCACTATACGTGCATTGATCTCATCACTCACACCCCACCAGCACTTATGCAGCTACCCAGACACACGAATTTCTCAACTACGTCTATCTGCTCACCATCCAGGGTGAGTACAGGATTAGAATCCTGCCAGTCTTGTAGAAGTACTTTGCACTTCGAAGGTGCAAAGCACATACCATACCTACGGACACTGATTGCCAACTGATTAAGTGCGGATTGCATGCCTTGGGCATTATCGCACAGTAAGACAATATCGTCCGCATACTCAAGGTCGAGAAGTCTTTCTTCAGGCAACAGATCCACCCCCCATTACTTACATTCATCAGAGCTGTTTCCAGAATGTCATCGATGGCAAAGTTGGAGAGGAATGGTGAGATTGGGCAACCCTGCCTAACCCCACTGCTCGAATGGAACAATGGAGAGAGGTGGTTGTATGCCCTCACTCTGCCTCCTCAAGTGTCACCGTAGCCAACGATTCTAGTGCGCAAAACACTGTCCCAGGTCTACTGAAACCTCGCTCCAAACTACACATTGGAGCCTTCAACGTACGCACCCTATGTCAAATCGGTCAGCAGGCTTCCTTGGCTAAAACCCTAGAGTCTCTTTCCATTGATGTATGCTGTGTCTCCGAAACACGCATACAGGATTCCAGTGTGGTCATTCACTTGACCTCACCTCGGCAAGACGGAGAGCCAACGAGATACACCCTTCGTGTGTCTGGTGACCCGATGGCAAGTTCTCGTGGACTGGCAGGTGTAGGCATAGCACTAAGCATGAGGGCCGAACAAGCACTGCTAGAGTGGATCCCCGTCAACAGTCGTCTATGTGCTGTTCGGCTGAACGGCTACGTAAGAACTCGGAAGGATAGGGACACACGTCGTTGCCTTTTTGTCGTTTCTGCCTACGCTCCCACTGACTGCAGCTCAGATGAAGTGAAAGATGAATTTTACAGAAAGCTGTCCGAACTTCTTCAGAAAGCTAAACGCTCAGACATAGTACTCGTAGCAGGTGATTTTAATGCTCAGATAGGCAGTTTAAACCAAACAGAAAGGCATTTAGGTGGATATTTTAGTATTCCGACACAGCGAACAGATAATGGTGATCGTCTGCTGCAGCTATGCTCAGACAATCGTTTATTTTTAGCAAACACAAATTTTAAGCATAAGGAGAGACATCGTCTAACATGGCGACCCCCTACACCAAACCAACGATGGACTCAAATAGACCATATTGCCATCAGTCATCGTTGGAGAGGGTCGGTAGAAGATTGTCGCTCATTCTGGAGTACCTGCTTGGACTCCGACCATGCCCTAATACGGGCACGCATCTGCTTGCGCCTCACTGGACGCAAAAAAGCCACATTAAAAAGACCCATTAGAACTGAGTTGAGTAACGAGAAAACCAAAAGTAGGTTCCAGGAACAACTGAGGTCACACTTAGGTAGTTGTGAAGACGAGGCTGACCCAGATGTTGCTTGGAAGGGCATACAAGCAGCTGTGGAAACAGCAGTGACATCTATTAGTGACTTAAACCACAGAGTTACAAGGAACCAGTGGATTTCTTCAAGGTCTGTCACACTGATGGATTCTCGCAAACTCGTCCCATCAGGTTCTGAACATGATGAAGAGCGTAAACAAATCAGATCTAGGTTAAGAAAAAGTCTAAGGAACGACCGTGAGCAGTGGTGGGTAACGAAAGCAAAAGAGATGGAAAAGGCGGCGACTATAGGGAACACAAGACAGCTTTACAGACTAATAAAAGAAACTGGAATTAATAAGTCAAGTGTAAGTGAGATTATTTCGGAAAAAGATGATACTCTCATCTGCTCCCAGTCCAGACGTTTAGAACGATGGGCGGAACATTTTAGAGAACAGTTCAGCTGGCCTTCAGCTACTCTACAACTACCCTCCATTCCCAGACAAAGTGAATGGAACATTGAAGTAGGTCCCCCAACTCTTGCTGAAGTTGAGAAGGCTATAGTTAATCTGAAACGAGGAAGGGCAGCTGGTCCAGATGGATTGGCTCCAGAGGTCTTTAAGGATGGTGGTCCAATTTTAGCGATTAGGTTGACTAATATTTTAGCTAAGATCTGGGAATTAGACGTTATCCCATCTGACTGGTCGCAATCACTTATCGTCCCAATATATAAGAAAGGGTCAAAATCATCCTGTGACAACCACAGAGGGATTAGTTTAACAAACATAGTATCTAAAATACTGGCCTCGATAATTATCAAACGCCTAACTAAGACTCGTGAACTACAAACACGAGAGAACCAAGCTGGCTTTAGACCTGGTCGTGGCTGCATCGACCACATATTCACCATTCGTCAGGTTCTAGAACACAGGCATACCTATCGGCGTCCGACGATGGTGGTCTTTCTTGACTTAAAAGCAGCATTTGACTCTGTAGACCGCGAGACTCTGTGGCAGTGTCTGTCATTGAAAGGCGTACCTCAGAAGTACATAAACCTTGTGAAGGCTCTTTACTCGAACACTACTAGTCGAGTCAGGGCTTATGGCGAACTGTCATCTACTTTTGCAACCTCAAGTGGTGTCCGTCAAGGCTGCCCACTTTCTCCATTTTTGTTTAACTTCATCATAGACCTATTGATGGAAATAACACTCTCGTCGACTGAATTCTCGGGTATTGATCTCCTTCCAGGAGGTCCACTTATCGACTTAGAATATGCAGATGACATAGTCCTGTTTGGTGAAGACGCTGACAAAATGCAGAGTCTTCTGGTAGCACTAAGCAACAATGCCAGAATGTTTGGGATGCGCTTCTCTCCCTCTAAATGCAAGTTGTTGCTTCAGGACTGGTCTGCGTCAACACCTGAACTAAGGATAGGGAGTGAAGTAGTCGAACGAGTTGACAACTTCACTTATCTTGGAAGTCTGATCAGCCCTAATGGGTTGGTGTCTGACGAAATCTCAGCACGGATTCGTAAAGCTCGTTTGGCTTTTGCCAACTTACGTCACCTTTGGCGGAGGCGAGATATCCGTCTATCAATAAAAGGACGAGTATACTGCGCGGCAGTCCGTTCTGTTTTAATTTACGGCAGCGAAACATGGCCCTTAAGAGTAGAAGACACCCGTAAGCTACTAGTATTTGACCACAGATGCCTTAGAAATATTGCTGGCATCTGCTGGGATCACCGGGTAAGTAATAGTGAGGTTAGACGCAGGGTATTAGGGAATGATGGTAAATCAGTTGATGAGGTTATGAATCTTCATCGACTGAGATGGTTGGGCCACGTATTACGTATGCCTGAACACCGATTACCGCGACGTGCAATGCTAACCGGTGTAGGGGATGGTTGGAAGAAAGTTAGGGGCGGCCAAACCAAAACGTGGCATCAGTGCCTGAAGTCACTAACTTCTAGTCTGAGCCATGTTGGTAGATGCAGACTACTTGGTTGGGGTCCGCGTGACTTTCGTAACCAATGGTTGGAGACCCTTGGTGACATGGCTCAGAATCGATCACAATGGCGTCGGTGTATACACTCTCTGTCTTCTCTTAAACTAAGAGATTAAGATCACTTCACATCTTTCTTTCTACGAACTAATTCTTTCTTCCTATACTATATCCTTATTGCAATCTTTCTCCTATATCATTAATACTATTATTATTGTTATTATTGTTATTATTATTATTATTATTATTATTATTATTATTATTTTCCACATTATTCACCCTCTTTTATACTTATACAGCGGCTCGTCTTTGGTGGAAATTCGACTGTATCTAAACGTTCTCGAGTCACTGTCCGGTTGAAAATTGTATGTTACCACCGAATACGAGAACTGAAGCAGTTTTTCTGAAACCACGTGCACCATTCAAACTGGCTGCCTTCAACGTTCGCACATTTATGCAGGTCGGACAACAGATAGGGCTGGCTATGTCTTTGGAAAGTCTTAATATTGATGTTTGTTGTCTATCCGAGACCCGTATTCAAGACTCTGGCGAAGTACTACAAATTCGATCTCCATCTGTCGCTTCGAAAAGCTTGTTTTATGTGCGCTTATCCGGGGACCCTGTGGCATCTTCGTCTGGTCTTGCTGGCGTTGGTGTCGCACTAAGCGCTAGAGCTGAGGCAGCACTAGTCGATTGGATCCCCATTAACAGTCGGTTATGTGCTGTTAGATTAGAAAGTTCCATCAAAGTGAGAAGAAATCGGCGTGAGAAACGACGTCTTTTCGTCATCTCCACCTATGCCCCGACAGATTGCAGCCCGGATGCAATCAAGGATGAGTTTTACCACCAGTTATCTGTTCTTCTCGAGAAAGTGCGTTCGACAGATATTGTAGTACTAGCCGGAGACTTGAATGCTCAGGTCGGGCGTCTAGGCACAGAAGAGAGTCGTTTAGGTGGCCGATGGGGACTCGTTGGTCGCAGGTCAGATAACGGGGACCGTCTACTGCAACTGTGCACAGACCACAACCTGTTTCTGGCTAGCACTAACTTTCGGCACAGTCATCGCCGATGTGCCACCTGGCGTCCTCCCTCTGCATCTCAAGCCTGGACTCAGATTGATCACATCGCGATCAGCTACTGCTGGCGTGGTTGTGTACAAGACTGCCGCTCCTTTTGGAGTACCTATCTGGACTCTGACCATGCCTTGGTCTGCGCCAATCTTGCCTTACTTTTCAGTGGCCAACGAAGTGACCACCACCAAAAGATTGATGTTAGCAAGCTGGTTGCAACTTCTGTTGCAAGTAAGTATCGAACCGAGCTAGCCTCTAGGCTAGCTACCACTCCACCGAAAAGTATAGATGAGCATTGGTTGCAATTGCATGACGCCATGAAAATGGCGGGAACAGTCAGTTGTGGGTTTGCGAAACGTCCCGCTTTTAAGCACTGGGTTTCTGCAGGTTCCTTACAACTCATTGAAGCCCGTCGGTCTACTCCGGGTGACCGTGAGTTTGACCACAAACGAAGGTTGTTACGTAAGGAAATTGGGCAAAGCTTGCGTAAGGACCGAGAAACCTGGTGGTCGAAGCGTGCTAATGTTGGGGACGATAGATCCCCAAAAATCAAATTTTGTAATTTACTTATCGATTAAATGTTCAGATAGGTCAATTGATGAACTATCGATTAAACGTACAAATAGGTCAATTGATGAACTATCGATTAAATGTTCAAATAGCAGTCAATTGTTGATTAATGTTCAAAAATCTTCCATGACAATATCGATTGTAAATATTTGTATAAATACGCTTGATTTGTGTGCTTGACTTGACTTGTATCTGCTGTTTGTCTGTAGAATACACTTTCTACACCTTACCCAGACTTTTTGATCGAGTTAGCAGAGTTGGGGACAACGGACCAGAATAGACTATCGAGATTCTGAATCCTTGATCCGATCGATAAGTCACTGTCATATAATCGGCAGTCCCTTTGAGGCATAACAGCTAATGAGCTGGAAGCAGCAGCTGCATCTGGTAATTACCGGAAGCTATTCCAACTCATCCGAGCCACTGGCAGCAAGAAGTCTGGTGTGAGTGAAACAATCTGCGAGGATGATGGGATGCCAATCACTAACATCCATCGACGTCTTGGACGATGGGCAGAATTTTTCGAAGGGCAGTTCAACTGGCCTGCTGCTCCGGCAACATCGGTCAGACTGTCCTGCCCTCCATGGCCGGTGACGACTGATCCACCAAATGAGGAGGAAGTCCGCAAGGAACTCCAACTCTTGAAGCGTTACAAATCACCTGGCCCAGATGACTTACCTCCGGCTCTTTTTAAAGATGGTGGTGACTTTTTGACTAAGGAATTGACGACGTTGTTTACAAAGGTTTGGGAACTAGAGAGTGTACCAACGTCATGGAATGAGTCGATAGTTGTCCCTATCTTTAAAAAGGGTTCACGTCGTTCCTGTAACAACTATCGGGGGATAAGTCTACTTCCGATTGCGTCCAAGCTATTGGCTTCCGTCATACTTCGTAGGTTGTTCAAAACCCGAGAAAGATTGACTCGCGAGGAGCAGGCTGGGTTTCGTTCTGGTCGAGGATGTATTGATCATATCTTCACCCTCCGCCAAATGTTAGAACACCGCCATACTTATCAAAGGCCAACAATCGTAGTGTTTCTTGACATCAGGGCTGCCTTCGATTCGTTGGACAGGACTGTTCTCTGGGATTGTCTATTGAAGAAGGGTGTGCCTGAGAAGTTTATTAACATCCTGAAAGCCCTATATAAAAACACCTCAGGCAGAGTGAGGGCATACAACCACCTCTCTCCATTGTTCCATTCGAGCAGTGGGGTTAGGCAGGGTTGCCCAATCTCACCATTCCTCTTCAACTTTGCCATCGATGACATTCTGGAAACAGCTCTGATGAATGTAAGTAATGGTGGTGTGGATCTGTTGCCTGGAGAAAGACTTCTCGACCTTGAGTATGCGGACGATATTGTCTTACTGTGCGATAATGCCCAAGGCATGCAATCCGCACTTAATCAGTTGGCAATCAGTGTCCGTAGGTATGGTATGTGCTTTGCACCTTCGAAGTGCAAAGTACTTCTACAAGACTGGCAGGATTCTAATCCTGTACTCACCCTGGATGGTGAGCAGATAGACGTAGTGAGAAGTTCGTGTATCTGGGTAGCTGCATAAGTGCTGGTGGGGGTGTGAGTGATGAGATCAATGCACGTATAGTGAAAGCCAGAGCGGCTTATGCCAATCTGGGCCACCTTTGGCGCCTTCGTGATGTTAGTCTGGCTGTAAAAGGTCGGATCTACAACGCGTCGGTGAGAGCAGTTTTGCTCTATGCTTGTGAAACCTGGCCTCTCCGAGTTGAGGACGTTAGACGACTCTCTGTGTTCGATCATCGCTGTCTCCGAAGGATTGCTGACATTCAGTGGCAACACCATGTCAGTAATGCAGAGGTTCGGCATCGTGTGTTCGGGCACAGAGATGATAATTCAATTGGTGTCACCATCTTGAAACACCGACTTCGGTGGCTTGGACATGTTCTCCGAATGTCGTCCCAGAGAATTCCACGTCGTGCATTATTTGCCGACTCTGGGACTGGTTGGAAGAAGCGGAGAGGTGGTCAGTGCATGACATGGTGTCGTGGCATGAAAGAAAGCTGCAAAGGACTGGCTTGTGTTGGTCCTTCACGACTCCCTGGTTGGGGTCTGAGAGATGGTGCTACACAGTGGCTAGAGACGTTATCAGATATGGCTCAGAATAGAAGCCAGTGGCGATCCTGCTGTAACCTTCTTTTACTTTCTTCATAAAAAGTGGTTGTGTCTCCTTACCTGAAAGATTTCTTCTGATTGTACCTTTTCGTTCCGTCGTTACTACCACACTACCTTACACCAATCTCTTCGTTATTGTTCTCTTTTTCTTTTGCGCTCCTTAGCTTTTTTTTCTTTCTATTTCTCTTCGAATTCTCATTGTTTTGTGTGGCGCATATATATTGGCGCTCTCTTGTACCAATATTCATGTGTTCAAATAAATAAATAAATAAATAAACAATTGGTAACAGTTTATAATTTAGTATTTCCCGGTTAAAATCACATGGAATTTAAATGGAGATCACCAAACTATGTCACTTATCAATATAGTTTATTTTTACTCTGATTAAACCTTTTAGACTATCAGAAGAAGGAACTTATGTCGGCTCTGTTATCTAAAACACCTTAATAAAACAGAGTATTCGGATAAGCTGATACGGAACGTACCTTTCTAGTCACAACTGAAGACGAATTTTCTATGATTCTCTAGGACATTTGGCGTGGTCCTCTAAAGTAAAGTAAACACCAGCTGCCTGTTTTCTTGGGGTCATTTTCACCTGATAATTGTCCGGTTTGTATCAAGGTATCAACTTTAAAAGCAACAAGTTTAACAAACACATATAGTTTCGGAAATAACTACAATAAACATCACGTGCAGAGACTGATTTCAGAGAGCAACCTTACGATTTTTGACAAAACACAAAGAGTATGAGGCATTTGAAACTAAAATGCGTAAACACAACCAGTATATCATGTTAAGTAATAGTTAATACGTTTACTTGTAAATCAATTTTTAACCGTCTTAGCAATCGTACATAACTGACTTATTTATACTATATTATGTAACTTTTACTTAAGGAACTGTGATTATCATACACCTTTTAGTTTTCCTATGTTTCCAGCCTTGACAATAGGGTAGAGAGAGCGAGGAAAGGTGGTTATAAATAATTGTCACTTATTAACGATCACTTGCCTATATTTTCAAATTTTTTTTTCTTACAGGATGTCATGATACCGAATTCGAGTATATGTACGGCTGAATGTACTCAACCTACATCTGATTGGACAAATGATCCATCTTGGATTATGAATATGCAGGCATTTTCCACAGATAAATCTCATCGGTCATGTAAGGCGGATTATTATTTGTGGTTAACAATAATTATACTACTTAACTCAAAATGAGTATGTTGGAAGTTAACTTGAAGAATTTTAATGTTGTTTTTCTCTATTTTGTACATTCGAGCAATTTAAGATACGTGATTAACTTATATGATTTATAGAAATTACTTCAATATTGAAAACGGTCATTATTAAAATTCACGTACCTTAGGAAATATGATATAACATACTCTACAGAATACAACAACTCCAATATGTTACGTCACGTTGTTTTGTTTGTGGCCAACCAATATGTATCATCAACCTTTTACCTAGTGAAAAATGTGACTCGAAGCCTATCACGTAATCAAATATCAACATACTAGCTACAATAATCCCTGTAAATTAAAGCATTCCTTAGTTCTATATAGGTGATTTCATAATCACTTAATTAAGCCCTTCTTTATGCAGGCTTGATATCTGCAGTAACGCCTAGAAAGCTTCAGGTGAATTTGGATTATTTCATAAAAAGTATGGCAAATGTCTGTAGTTTGTTAAGTGTTAATTAGACAACAAGTAGTTAGAACTCTGATACTGTTTACTTTTGTCTATGGAATATTAGAATCCTGAACCGATCAATATGAAACCACTATTGAAAACCTGAAAGCACTGAACGACCTTTTCGTTCTAGTATGAACTGATTAAAGTTAGGTATTAATACAGTTGGATCCCCATTCAATGGTCTAGATGTTAAGCGTTCAATGCACGAGACCAAAGTTCCTGGATACGATTTCTGCGTGCGGTGTTGTGGATACACTGTTGAGAAGTCTCATTTTAGTACTCAATGGATATCCAATGCTTCCAGAATTTTAATGGTGGTCTAACATTGATCATTTCATGATCTTAATGAAACTCAACAATCTCCACAGTGGTGACAATCATTGAACCGTGGTTATACGTTTTCAAACAGTGAATTACACATTCAAACACTGCTCCAACCACCAAATTCCTGAGAACTAGGTATCTTAGACTCCTACAAAATAATGACAAATTATAATATACTTTTTGGGGATAATAATTCAATCTATTAGTTGGCTATCTACACAAGCTTCCTGGCCACTATTTTTTTTGGCAAACGTGCATTCATTAACACAACTTTTCTTTGTTTATAATTTGTTTTAACCCAGAAGTTGTCTGCTAAGTGCCAATTTTTACACCATAAAATCTTTGCAATCTATAGTGTATCATATTACTCAAGAAGTACCACAACGGTTCTTTGTGTATTTTACTTATCCGTTTATGATTTAGAGAAGCATATGGTGATAAAAAGGAATGTTAGTTGATGGTTGAATGTAGTCGACAGGAAACCCCTTTCTTGGCTTAGGTTTCATACTATCTGATACCCATTAGTATGATGTACCTATAATTCTGAGGGAACTGATACTCTATGGCGTATGTTGTCAAAGAGTGTTGGTAAACATTTACAGATAAACATAATTGGCTTACTACTTATTTGTTTCTTGATTCTAATATTGTTTCGTTTTCGATAACTTATAGCTAATAATTCATCACAAGATGTATCTAAATTAGAAGTTTTATCTATGATGAGAGATGCAAAACGACGTCGTCAAAGCTATAGAGGAATACATACTGCAAGAAAATCTTATACTGAAGTATGTGAATTTTTAATTATATATATATATATATATATATATATATATATATATATATATGCTGATGGAAATGTTTCTTGAGTTGTTCTCCCCGTCTTGATTGAAAACTCTTAATAGCATTCTAAGAATTATCTTCAGTGTAAATGAATTCAAGGTACTACCAAATGCCCTGGTATGATTGAGGGTGAGGAAAGTTTGTTCACCCTCTCCAATTGCTTTCACATGGACACGTGTATACAACCACTATCAGAGAAGTCCTATTCACTGTTTTCTCAAGAAAAGTGTGTTCTCTACGAAACTGGGATAACAAAAAGCGAATTTCTGGTGCCTTAACCGGGTTAATGGATACGGAGAGTCCGCCTAAGGCAGTTGGAAAACCCTGATTAAAAACCAATGGTGCACATTGGCTCCAGGATCCTGAGGGAACAAATGGTGTATGGACCTATTGTTGATAACTTGGCTACCATGGGTCAAAGGCTCGAATGGTGGTTCGCTAAGATAACCATGTGCTTTGGTTTGGGTGCCCGAACAGTATTCCAGCCCTCACACAAATCAATATTTGTGTTTAAATTAATAAATAGTCATGGTAGTTTATATAACAAACTCGACAATGATTTCATAAGTTCATCATTTGATAGATAGTATGTGATGCACATTTACACAGTAAATGGTAAGCATCTATACAACTTGTCACAAACTCGTATTAGTCCAAGCTTTCGTTACTTCAAATCACAAGAAGACAATGACATTGACTATATAAAAGTCATTGACATTAAAGCATTAGCTATAATAGTGAAAAGGTCAGAAAATAGGGAGTGAATTGTGAACTGTGAATTGGTGGCATAATACTGAAACTCGAAATTCAAAGAGAAACATTGAATAACAAATATATATCTTGATATGCTGACCCAATCAGATATATTAATCCAAGACCAATTGATAAGTAAGAGATTGCTGATGAATGCATGCTGTTGGTCAAGATTTGACTTAATCTTCAGAGGGACATGTGTCTATGTTTATAAATGAGTTGTTCATATAGTTGACTCGGTTTGCCAATAAAAGCTTCTTACTCTGTTTTTGGTTTTCTCACTCAAGTAGCTTGGTGATGTTATATCTTGAAATTGGGTTCGTCAATGGTCTACAATAATTGCTAAATACAGAACCATTGAACTTGATAGGACGACAATTGACACACAACAACACTTCAATATTATTAATCCACACGCCAATCAGTCAGTCAGTCAATAACAACGTAGAACTTCGTAAGTACGTACATCAGTTCGAGTTGCCATACCACATTAGCACAGAGATGCAGTGGTCGCTTCAAATCCCGTATTGCTAGATGTAATAAAATTATAAGCTGTAATCAGAAAAATTAGGGTTTGAGGATGTTAGTCAAGGAGTATAATCCAGTGAAATAAATTTGGAAAGAGAAAAAAGAAAGGGATATGAAGAATTCAGAAGATTAGAATTCGGGAGAGTACAAAGAGCGGATGCACCTGCGTCATTGCAAACGATTTTGAGCCATGTCATTCAGGGTCTCTAACCATCGGTTCCTATCATCTCGCGGTCCCCAACCAGGTAGTCTACACCTACCTCAGTCTACTTGTCAGTGACTTTATGGACTTGTGCCATGTTTTGTTCTGACCACCAATAAAAAGATGGTACTTTTAAAATAGCTTTGTATTCCTAGTAGAAGTTGAAAAACTGAAATGAAACAACTCTGTTTATATAATACAATCCAGTGACCGTTGGATACGTAACAAATTATAAATGATAACACTCAATTGGATAGTAGCAAGTTTCATTTAGTAACAAAAAAACTAAATAATCTAATCTCTTCTTAACAGTTGGGCATGTAGATAGTAAACGTATATATCTGTTGTGTCTTCGGAAATGCTTATCCGACTTGATACTAGGAAACCTGAGAATCGGACGATGCAAGTAAGAAAAAAATAACCCGACAACTTTATATAAAGACTCACTTGACCTCAGGAATAAACCAGAATGATGTAGAAACACACCACTTCTTATAAGATTCATTTACAGTTAGATTGACAGTCAGATTTATATAGATTAAACCAAGTAGTACTCGACACTAACTAATCAGTAACATACTGTGTGGATCACATATTAGGCATCTTACAATCAACAAATATAACTGATTGACTAAGTCATATCATCACTTCTCCTTAAGATGTGATTACGTATCACAAACGATCAATTTTATATGTTCATTTCAATTCAATCAATTAGGTCATTGCTCCTCCATATGAATATCAGTGTCTTTTAAATCCTGATATTTGGGGCTCATTATCGACCTACAATCCTAACGGAATCAGGAGTGACTAAGCTACTATAATGTAAGCGGTTCTGCTGGGACACAACAGTTGACAACTAATCTAGGGATAAGACGGATCGTAGAAAAACTCAATATTCGAAGTAAAACAAACAAGACAAAGCGAATCAATACTAACCTGTATATGTAATAATCAAAACATGACCTACAAGCATACAAAAATTCGAAAAACTGAAAGGAATGGCAATCAATCAGAAAAAAAAGCGAAGATCATACAGAAAATTAAATTAAAAGTACTTATGCCTGTTACTCCTCGTGGAGAAGCATAGACACAACACCATCCCTCTCAATCCAATCATGTCCAGTTCTTTCCAGTTGTTATATATCTTTTTCATGTTTGCTTCCAATCCCCAACGTAACTTGTTCTTTGGCCTTCCTCTTTTCCACTTCCCTTCAAGATTCCAAGTTAGGACTTGCCTCGTGATGCAGTTTGATGATTTCCATAATGTATGTCTTATTCACTACCAACGTCTTTTCCTAATTTCCTCTTCAGTTGGAAGATGGTTTGTCCTCTTCCACAGAAGGCTGTTGTTGATGATATCCGGCCAATCGATATTAAGTATCTTGCGTAGACAACTATTTATAAATACTTAAAAGTCAGTAAACTAGAGAACTTACTAGTAGTATGTATTGTAAATGTATACTACTTTCAATACATATGAGTAGTTTGATTTGTTTTTGTAAATTTCGGTCAACACTGTTGGTCGTTTGCAACAGTTTGTTAAGCAATTTCACTTGAAATATACAATAAAATTAAAATGTAGTTATTCTTTCCCTTGATCTCTCTTCCTCAGGTATTACGTGAAATTATAGCACAACAAACTGAAATGTTGACAGCCAGTCAAGAATTGTCGGAACAACAGTCTCAAGATAAAAGATCTAGGTGAGTTATAGAGGTATTATTGTTGTTATAATTATCATTTCTACTGTTATTACCTTATTTTAATGGTTTGAAATGAATATTTATATATGGATTCCTAATTACTACATGATGTATACTTGTACATGTTTTAATGTGGCTATTTGAAGCTTGCCATTGGAAAAGTCTCCACTTGTTTAGTGTGAGAAGTGTAGGAATTGGTTTTTCAACTTCTGTTGTGATCTCTCACTCAAAATATTGACCAAATGTTAGTTTATATGTTATTTTGTTATTGATATTTACGTTTATGTCACTTGTGTTATGGTCTGCAATACAGTTTAGCTACTATTACTAAAGAATACGTAGGAAGGTGTATTATCATAGTGGAATACTGATATAACTTATGAGTAATTATAGGTGATCGCGTTGACCCAGATAGGGACATGTATCTTAGTTGACTTGAGTCTCTTCCCTGAAATGTTTCAGATTGAATAGCTATGTCATGAGTTATAAATGCCTTATCGTTGTTCCTTTTGACCTGTTAAGTTTGTTTTACTTTGTTCCTGCTCATTCGTTTTCTACTCTTTTGTATGTTGGTTTATACTACTTATTTATATTCAGTAAGCAGTTGTATGCCCAAAAATTTTCACAATTATGTTGTAACTCAGGTTGTACTGTAACATTCTGAAATGTTCACATATATCTTTAACGTTTATTTTACTTATCATTGTATTTATCATTATAATCACTGTAATTTAATTACTGTAACGGTTATCCACAGTTTTATGCATTTTTTTAAACGCAACAGTTTCCATATTGTTTGCTCTTGGTTCGAGTTTCGGTTGTTCATAAACTGTTATCAAATTTAGACACAGCTATCGGCTGTCTTTGGACTATCGTATGTTATAATCATTCTTTATGTTACTCTTACAGGAAGCCTTTGCTATTTTCATTCTTGAACGACGCGTTTAAACGCCTAGACACCTCACAAGTTGAGGTTTGTAACTAACTTTTGTGTATTATTTAATAAAGAACCGCTTTTGTAGACAAATCGTTGTTTTGGAACTTCGATTTTGCGCGTATCTCAATCGGGGTTACTTGGACGCTTCGATAGAATTAACATGACCCCTTGATCAATATCACATGCCAACTCAAAATCCTACTTCTAATTTATCAGTTGTTTCCTCTATACCCTAATATATCTGACTTGGCCAGTTACATGCGCGACTAGCCCTGTTGACCTTGAACCAACACAATTAAGTTCTCATTGGCCCGTACTTTGCGAGCTTCACTCTATACCCTCCCTCGAGTCCAAAAGTCATCAACCAGCCCCTACTGTATATTTATCTTTCATATAAATGTGGCTTATATGTACACATACCACACCGCATGACATCGTAAAAGAATAATAACAATTTTTTTATGAACAAACCAAAGGGTTTGTGAGTAGAGGAGACTAAATTTCAGATGGGCAACAATTTAGGAATAGTGAGTTGTATAACAGTAGTTAATGAGTCAACTAAAAGCTTGTGTTGAACGGAATACATAAACATGTCAATCTAGTTACCTGATTGTTATGTCCTAAATTTCGTCATATATCACGTGACTGAATCCCCAATTAGGATACCGTCTTGTGTGATCTTGGCGCTGTGCCAAACCAATGACGCGTTAACCAGTACCAACAGCCTAGAGTCAACTTTGAGTCGTTATTGCTCCTCTGTATAGCCTTGTCTATTAAGTCTAGAAAGTAATCTCAGCCTTCACTGTATGAATCGCATATTTCAAATAAACTTGGTTTGTACAAAAGCAGATCAGATCTCATCGCAATATAAAATGAAAAATGAAAATCATACAAGATCAAGCCAAAAGTGATTGTGAGTAGAAGAGAAATATCTAATAACAGTCCATAAATAATTCCTAACAGTTATCACTCATTTATTCTTCGTTAGAATATAATACTAACAATTATACATTAAGAATATATATGCTAGTAATATGTTTGTCATTTAAAACATTAGGCGATAATAATACGTTCACTTGGTGTTGTTTTACTTGTATCTTCCCATCGATACTTAGGACTACAATTGATCAGTCTCTTATTGACATATGTGCATCCTGTACGGACTGCTTCGATATTGCCTGAAGTCACAAGCTTTTAAAGCAAAGATGGATAGTGGCTAGCAGTGGAATCCAGTTTGACATGCGTTTCGTCCTATTTGGGATTGTTCAGCTGGATGTACCTGGATCGCAGAGTTGATAATACATTTACGTTTTTAGTTAACACAATAGTTTATATCATTAAATGATCTTGGTTAGACAACCATTGAAAACCAAAAAAACAGTGTATAAAACTGTCTTGTTCTATTATGGTATACCTCAAAAATGCACCAATAACCTCGCTGCGAATAGGTCTTTAAACGATTGAGCTAGTATTCAATAGCTTATATATATCTGTTGGGATATTCAGAAAAATATCCCAAGAATAATCTTGTTAAGTCTAATGCATCATTTTCCTATTGGTCCATTTTTATTTCATGTGTCATTTTCTTGTTGGCCAAATATTGTACAAATGTTATTTTCTATTTTATGGTACGTTGTGGTCTGTTTGATTGGTATATAAACAGAGTATGCTTGAAATACATGATTCATATTGCAAAGGCTGAGACTGATGTTCTGGACTTAATTGGCTGGGCTAGGCCGAAAGCAGGACCAATCAGACTCTAGGCTGCTTATACGGGTTTATGCATCATTGATCCGATCGATAAGTCACTACTCTCTAATCAGCGATCACAAGTTATAACAATATCTAACTTTAATTCCTGATATTTCACAATTATTAGAGTTAGTAATTGCGTCATACTTAATATTGTTGAACTTTTCACTAGTCATAACATCTCGTTAGAGCTTTAAAAAGTACCATTTAAAATTGGTTTCTGGTGGTGATTGTACAATCATTACTGTTAGTACAGAGTGTTTATGAGAATGATTGAATCTCAGTTTATTTTCTTTTATAGAAATTTCCTTTACAGTTTGTCCTCTTTTTCCTCATAATTTTTCTTGATTGTAGTAGTGTAGAATCACTTTCAAATCAAACTGAAAATGTTCATAAAAGAAGTCACTATTCACACAAATATAAAACACTGGATACTTCACGAATACAACACTATTCTCCTTCGAATTCTCCATCGTCATCATCAACAACTCGACGATATAAAGAAACTTATACATCCAAATCAACTTTAAAGCATACACATCATCAATCATCCAAATGGAATGATAGAAGACAATCATCATCAGCAGTATCGCCATCATCACCATCATTATCATCATCTAAACATAGGACTTCTAGTTCAGAGATAAACAAAAGTTTTCATCATGATAATGATGTTTCTCCGGTGCATAAAAAGTTGAAAAAACACAAAAAAACATTCTAAACATAAACATAAAAGTAAGAAGTAAACATTCCAGTCCTGGTTTTCATTATTCTAACAGAAAGAAATTCGTTTTTGTATTGGTTGTTTATATCTTTCCATTAATGTTTAGAATTGCAATGGATCAATCTTTTATTGGCATATGTGTATCCTGTGTGGATTGTCTCAATATTGCCAGTAAGTCATAAGAATTTTAAGGAGAAATGGATGGAGGCTAGCAGTAGAATCAAGGATGCTTGTCTTTCGTTCAATTTGGAACTTGTCAAATTGATGTCCCTGCATTCCAAAGTTCATATTCACTCCTGAACTCGAATCCAGTACCTTTCGCTTCGAAATTCATAAAGTTTCTTTTGACATATATACATCTTGAGCGGATTACCTCGATATTGCCTTGAGTCTCAGAGTGAATATCCATTCTAAGATTCAGGTGCATCCAGATGACGAGTTCCAAATAGGCCGAAACGCGCATCCTGGATTCTTCTATTAGCTACCATCTAACTATGCTTCAAATTGAATCCTAATTTATACTGGAGAATGTGATCTGAACATCATCATGTTCATTGTATATTCATATTCTATTAAATAAACATATTATTTTCTTACATAAAAGATTCTATTCATCTGTCAAGTGATCTTGTCTTCGACTTCCACTTATTCTATTGTATGACTATACATTAAAAATACAGTCTCGTGAATATCCATCATTTAGTCATTGTGTGGTCTTTCATCAATTACTATTCGATTCATTAATCTTAACAATTAAGATTTCTAAAACAATTAGTCCCTTTGATAAATTTCGATAATGATATTAGAAGACATTTATGTAAGTATTCTCTAAAGGATTCTTTTGAACTGGTTGATCATTTAGATGATATTAATATCAAGGAAAAGACAATGTGTTCATTTGATGTAAATTCCTTGTGTTACAAATGTACCTTTAAAAAAAACCATTGATATATTATGTGATTACATATCTGAAAACAATTTTCAATCATGTGTACCTGTAAAACTTCTTAAAGATTTACTATTACTATGTACAGACAAAGTTCAGTTCACTTTTGAAGGTGAATACTTTCGTCAGATTAATGGAGTTGCTATGGGTAGTCCGCTAGGACCATTACTAGCAGATGTGTTCATGGCACATGTTGAAAATCAGACTGATGAATTAATCGGAAACATGTCACTTTATAAGAGATATGTGGACGATATCTTAGTTGTTTGTGAGAAAAAAGAGGATATGTACTGTTTATTAAATAAACTCAACACTCTCCAAAACCATATTAGTCTCTCATGTGAAGAGGAGAAAAACGATCAGCTTCCCTTCCTAGATATACTCCTGAGTAGACGAGTAGATGGTTCAGTCAAGCGATGTATTTTTAGAAAACCAACGTGGACAATTCAATATCTTAGTTATTATAGTTATTGCCCTGTGCAATACAAACGTGGTTTGATAAGGTGTCTTTTCAACAGACTCGACCGTATTTGTACCAATGACGCCATTGATGATGATGTTAAGTTGTTAAATAAAACGTTAATAGAAAATGGCTATCCTCTGAAATTCATAAATAGATGGAAAGTCCATGGTACAGCGAGACCTACTGTAGCCTCGGTAGAGAAAAAGCCTGTCTACATCACCTTACCATTCAGAGGTGATTCAAATAGCCTTTTACTCAAACAACGACTTAAATCAGTCATCAATAAAACCTATTGCGCAGCAAAGGTCATCATCAAAGAAAGAACAAGGTGCATGCTTCATTCAAAACCTAAAGTACATGGAAACGATTGCGTCACATCCCACTGTGCTTACCAATTTAAATGTGTGTGTGGTCACACATACATAGGGAGGAGTAATCGTGATCTCAACATTAGGGTGAGTGAACATGTACCCAAATGACTTCAAAAACAAATACAATCAAGTGACCCAATAAGAGCAGAGGATAAACATCCATCATCCTCTATTGCTAAACATATAATTGAAACAGGTCACAAGATTGATCTAAATTCAGCTTTTGTAGTGTTGTATAAAAGTGTAAAAGAACGTATACGAAGGTTTATTGAAGCAGAATGGGTTTTGTGGAGAATTTTAGAATTTTCACAGTTTTTTGAAATCATGAGTCAGTTGAAGCTAGACCACCATTGAAAACCTGGAAGCACTGGACGGCCGTTTCGTCCTGGTATGGGACTCCTCATGATTTCAAAAAACTGTGAAAATTCTAAAATTCTCCACAAAACCCATTCTGATAATAATAATCAACTGCTCACTAGTGACTGACTTCAGGAAAAACTCCTGAAGTTCTAGTGAGAAGCCGTTACCAGTGGAGTTCAACCGGTCTGTTGTGAGATAACAACTCACTGAAGACAATGGTGTACGGTGGCGCAACTTCGTGGATTGGTTGAAGTTAGACATTAACACCGTTGGATGCCGGCTCAGTGGTCTAGTGGTTAAGTGCTCGCGCGCGAAGCCAGTAGGTCCTGGGTTCGAGCCCCGCGTGGTGCGGGATCGTGGATGCGCACTGCTGAGGAGTCCCGTACCAGGACGAAACGGCCGTCCAGTGCTCCCAGGTTTTCAATGGTGGTCTAGCTTCAACTGACTCATGATTTCAAAAAACTGTTTATTGAAGCCTTAGCCATACGAAAATTCAAACCCCCCTTTAAGTGTTCAAAAACAGTTTGTTCTTACCTTAAACCTACCCTGGTAATATTGACTTATTAGCCAGAGTGATTAGGTTTTGCTTTGTGTTCACATTATTATTATTATTACTCTTATCATTATCCTTATCTTCTCTTACCCCGTTTCCTGTCTAGTTGACCTTTTATTTTTTATATATAAATGCTCTTAACAAGTATATGTGTGATCAGATTGTTCGAAATGTATTGGGCTAATACATCACATAGTTCTGATAATCTTCGTCTTCTAATATCATTATCGAAATTAAGATTTCATCATATCATTACCATTAAAAACTTCTCTTAGAACACCAATTTCTTCTATGAAAAATAGATTACTTACTTACTTACTTACGCCTGTTACTCCTCGTGAAGGAGCATAGGCCACTCACCAGCATTCTCCATCCAACCCTGTCCTGGGCAATCCTTTCTAGCTCCGTCCAGTTGTAATTCATCCTTTTCATATCTGCTTCTATAATCCGACGCAATGTGTTCTTTGGCCTTCCTCTTTTTCGCCTCCCTTCAGGGTTCCAAGTTAGGGCTTGCCTCGTGATGCAGTTTGACGGTTTGCGTAATGTATGTCCTATCCATTTCCATCGTCTTTTCCTAATTTCTTCTTCAGCTGGAAGTTGCTTTGTTCTCTCCCACAGAAGGCTATTGCTGATGGTATCCGGCCAGTGGATGTTGAGTATCTTGCGTAGGCAGCTATTTATAAATACTTGTACCTTCTTGATGGTGGTTGTTGTAGTTCTCCAAGTTTCAGCTCCATACAGTAGAACTGCCTTGACGTTCGTATTGAAGATTCTCACTTTGATATTGGTTGAAAGTTGTTTTGAGTTCCATATGTTCTTCAATTGTAGGAATGCGACCCTTGCTTTGCCGATCCTCGCCTTTACGTCTGCATCTGAACCTCCTTGTTCATCGATGATGCTTCCTAGGTATGTGAAGGACTCTACATCTTCCAGAGTTTCGCCATCAAGAGTGATTGGATTGCTGTTCTGCGTGTTGAATTTGAGGACCTTGGTTTTCCCTTTGTGTATGCTGAGGCCTACTGATGCAGAGACTGCTGCTACACTGGCTGTCTTCATCTGCATCTGTTCGTGTGTACGTGATAGGAGGGCTAGGTCGTCTGCGAAGTCCAAATCGTCTAATTGATTCTGAGTTGTCCATTGTATTCCGTGTTTTCCTTCAGATATTGAGGTCTTCATAATCCAGTCGACCACCAGAAGAAAGAGGAAGGGAGAGAGTAAACAGCCTTGTCTGACTCCAGTCCTTACTTGGAATGCATCTGTCAGCTGTCCTCCATGCACTACTTTGCACTGTAGTCCGTCGTATGAGTTCCGGATAATGTTGACAATCTTCTCAGGAACTCCGTAGTGTCGAAGAAGTTTCCATAATGTCCTCCTATCTACACTGTCGAATGCCTTTTCATAATCAATGAAGTTGATGTATAGTGATGAGTTCCACTCCACTGATTGTTCGACGATGATCCGTAGTGTTGCAATTTGGTCTGTGCACGACCGATCCTTACGGAATCCAGCTTGTTGATCTCGAAGTTGGGCGTCTACTGCATCCTTCATCCGGTTCAGCAACACTCTGTTGAAGACTTTCCCTGGTATTGACAGTAGTGTAATGCCTCTGTAGTTTTCACATTTGCTCAGATCTCCTTTCTTTGGAATCTTGACGAGGTGTCCTTCTTTCCAGTCCATTGGCACTTGTTCCTCCTCCCAAATCTTTTTGAATAGAAGGTACAGCATGCTTGTGGTTGCTTCGATGTCTGATTTCAGTGCTTCAGCTGGTATGTTGTCGGGTCCTGCTGCTTTCCCGTTCTTGATTTGTCTGACGGCCATTCTAATTTCTTCCGTCGTTGGTGGGTTGACATCTATAGGAAGATCTATGTGTGCTGCTTCGATGTCCGGTGGATTCATTGGAGCCGGCCTATTCAGGAGTTCCTCGAAGTATTCCACCCATCTGTTACGCTGATGTTGAATTTCGGTGATTGGCTTGCCTTCTTTGTCTTTGACCGGCCTCTCTGGTTTACTGTATTTCCCTGCTAGTTTCTTCGTTGTATCGTAAAGCTGTTTCATATTTCCTTCTCTAGCAGCTTTTTCTGCCGTCGTTGCTAGTTCTTCCACGTATTTCTTCTTGTCGGCTCTAATGCACCTCTTCACTTGTTTGTTTGCTTCTATGTATTCAGCTTGTGCTTGAACTTTCTCTGCTCGTGTTCGGCTGTTGTTAATTGCTGCCTTCTTGTTCTTCCTTTCTTTGATCTTGTCCAGTGTTTCTATAGAGATCCATTCCTTATGATGGTGTTTCTTTAGGCCCAGAACCTCTTG